AAGAAAAAATGTTCTTACCGTTAAGGGAGTTCAAGTCAACAAGCTTAAATTGATAATCAATTATTGTGTTTTTAAAAATTTCATATTTTGAAAATTTTATTTTCCAATAAAACTTGTACATTTTTTTACCATTTCTAATATTTAATATAATAATATTGTCATTTATTTAAAATTATATTTAATATTAATTTTATTATTAAATTTTATTCTTTAAAAATTATTTAATTTAAATATTAAATATATTTTTTATATTCTAAAAACTAAACTAAATTAATTTTTTTAAAATTAATTATAATTCTTTTAAAAATATGAAAATTAAAAAGTGAAAAATGAAAAAAAATAAAAAATTTGAACAAAAATAACCAAAAAACAAAAAAAAATAAAAAAATATGAAGAAAAAGGGTAACTGATTTTTCAAAAGATTTTTGAATTTTTTTTAAAAAGCCCTTTGAAATATCGGTTACCCAGTAACTGATTTCTCACCTAGACCTGCAAATGGGTCATTTACTTTAATAAAAATGGACCCAGATTATTTAAATAAATAAAAAAATAGTATATTAAAAAAAAAAGTCGAAAAATCTAGAGGTGTACAAGGCACTCTTATCATCTAGAAATAAACACTAATGGTCCACGCGTAGGATCATATTAGACCATTGACTCATTCACCGAATGAAGTTTATGTCACAGAACAGTCATACACATAAATACAGATAGAGATAAGGGACTTGAGTAAACGCTTATGAATCGACCCATAATTAATTTGGGCGGTGGGAAAGATGCCAAGCTCAAATGCATTGTTGCCTTTATTGTTTTTCATTTTTTTAAACACCTTTCTTTGATTTCTAACACAAGTATTTCCAAGCACTTGTTGCTATGAACCATGAGGATATTGTTTTCTTCTAAAGAATGTTATGAAATGGAATTGCTACATGCACGGACAGTACAAAGACAGGAATGAGTAAGAAAAAAATATATATATGCAAGGGAGGGTGAAAGGATCAATCATTTGAAAATTATGTTTTTAGAACGTGGTAATTAAATTTCATTATGATAACAACCCTACAGTTTGATAGTTTAACATAGTCTTTAGTCGACCTAAAGTCACTCTGAGAACGATTGTGTATAAAAACTCTTCAATAAGTTAACAATAATTGCAGTATTGTAAATGAAATTAGTTGTTGACTTAGTAGACTAGAGATATTCACACCCAAAAAAAATATTCAAAAAATTGTTAATGCAAGTTATTCAATAATTGAATATTGAAATTTGATTTCCATCGTGAAGATAAAGTCAGAACTATAAATATCACTTTATTCTTAAAATAATTCAATCTGAGAATGAATTATACTTCTAGCTATAGCAAAAAAATAAATAAATAAAATGGGGCAGTTCTCGTGTAACATACAAATTAATTTCTTATGAGACATCTGAGAGGTTGTAAACTTACTAGTCAAAATGCATTCTGTGTTACTGAAAACAACAGCCAAAGATCCTGGCTTAGCAGGCGCATAAGATAGCACGATATGCAAGCATTTATAAACCATGTTAAGGAAAAGATTGAAGAGTCAAACACACAATGAATTGATAGTTGAAAAATACACTACTTAGTGCGCATCTAATTTTAAGACGTGCTCTTTAGTCTTGGGTGGTGGGGACTCGGATTAGTTCCTCCAAGTCTTTGAAAATGGAAAAAAATTAAGGCGTCAATTTCCAAGAAAAAGATCAACAATTGGCACAGCTCACCCAAGTCAATGAAGTCCACTTACTATACAAAGTCATTTACAAAATAAAATAAAATAAAAAATAGCCACAAAAAATGTTTATGGAAAAAGTTTTGGTATGTACCTTGTTGGATAACAGTAGTGCAGAACAATAACAGTAGTGGACAAAAACAGAATGCAAGAACCATTGGTTTGAGCCAACCTCAAATAAAATCATCATGGCCAATTTTAAGGTGTAAAACATATCTTACTCTGTTGATGGTTTTCTCAATTGCTCAATTGAATTTAGAAACAGAATTAAGGGGTTAAACTACTGAAACCACCACATCATTTGGTATCATTAGAAGTTGAGAAAAAAAAACACAAATAAGTACATTGCAGCACAGGAGAAAACATAAACTAGGGAAATCAATCAAAGTTGGATTATAGAAGTAATTTATATTAGAGATGAGTTATTTAACAAGCCTAAGTGGTTAGAATATGTGTATAACTCAGTCCAAGAAATCCAAATTCCCATGAGAAAATACTGGGAATGTCTTGCTACTATATTGAACAAGTGGGGATCCTAAGATAAGCTACAAAAGCTTGTCAAAAGCTGTAACACTATTCCCTCACTAAGAATCTCTCGCATGCTTCTGTAAAATTTTTAGATTCCTTCAGGTTCTTCCAAATATACCTCCAAAGAAAGGTCTGCACTTGCTTTGTATGAAGGTGTATTGATCCATGACCAAACCACAGTTACATAAGTCATTCAATATACTCTCTCCTTTTTGGTGTTATACACAAAATCAGAAGATTTTATATACTAAAGCTCAGTCACTTTCTCTTCTGCAGTTTCCAGGCAACAAAAACTTGTATTTCTCGGCATTATTCAACAAATACGATGGAAGATGAACCGCAGAATACGAATGAGGAATAGGTCCCATCTTGCCAATAATCTCCTTAAATGTATACTCTTCAGGGAGCATGTCAAATAGGTCAGCCCCTTTGCATATCACATCCTGAATCCTGTTATGGTTCAAGTAATGAGCGAACCTGATCCGATCGTTATGGCTGTAAGCTTTCATCTTGAATATGAATTCACTTATACGGCGAAAACAGAAGCTACAATGCCAGCCAGAATCTGACAACAAGACATCAGCCTGCCGATAGTGTGCATAACATGTCTTGCCAGTCTGGTATCTATGCACCGAAGCTCTCCAACTTTGGTTGTCTAGAAAGAACTCAAAAGAGTACAAGTAGTTCCTCATTTGAAGATGAAGAACAGAAGGGATGTCATTGCACCACCTCAAGAGGTTAATTGTGTGAGCACTAGGAATCTCATCAACATCAGACATTATCAAGAGATCATCATCTTCTATCCCTGCAATCTTCAGAAGCCGGTCCAACGCCACTCTTTGGTATGCCTCTTCAACAAAAGGATTCTCACCCTTCTTAAATCTTCCTCCAATCACCCCATATGTTAACCGAGACTCCATAAACCGAAAATCGTCCCTATTGCTTGCGAAAATCAACGGTTTTGGCAATCCTGTAAACGTTGAGTTCGATTCGAGGATCACATAATGTGTCACATATGGATGCATCTCTTTCCATCGAACGGTGAGGATGTCAACTTCATTGCTAAACAAAACCGCATCAAAGACTCGTCTTGGCGACTCACGAATTCTCCAACCATGAAGTCTGCATAGAGTCTCCATGGACACATTCTCATGATAATAGTGAGGGATTTCATGAAAGGGCTTGGGAGGAGATTCCCAGAGGGGTCTCAGAAAGTACGAGATTTTCAACCCATGAAAATACACACAAAAGATTCCCATTGGAACAACCACAAACAAAAATACGTAGGTCTTGAAATCAAATCCTCTCAAAATGCAACGAAGCCTTGACATGCTCAATGCTGTTCGAGTTCCCTGCTGCGTAATAAACAAAATTCTCTCTCAAGTTACTGTTCAAAAAACAAAAACCTCACATCACATGCATGACAACATAAATAGTTTCAAGCAGTAGCAAGTAGCAACCCATGAATTCATCCATCATCCCTCAGAAACCACAACATGGTACTATTTCATACTCTCGTGAAAAATATGATTTTGGGGAGAATCCAGAAAATGGAATACAAAAGGGTATCCAAAAATGCTATAACTCAGAAAAGCACAGAATTTTAGCCTAAAAATCAAAACTTTCCTGAGCAAAGGGAAACCAAATGAAACTGCATGCATTAGGGGGTTTGAGAAAGGATGAATAAACCAATTTTTCAAACATTGAAAGATGAAGTGGATCCAATCCATAGATAAAAGTATGGATGATACTAACCTGGCTACAAACATCCCCACAGATATCATCACTCTTCTTGGAATTGTAATAGCCCTCAGACATGATCATGGTCATGGTAATGGTCAATCAGTGATTTCTCCCTCTATGCTCCAATCCTACTTATAAATCGGTATAAAGAGAGCAAAGGGTGGGAAATAGATAAATAAAAAGGGCAACCTTAATACAATACAATCTTTGAGGCTTTGGTGTTGGGTGGTGGCTGGAGTGTGTTCTTTTTGTGTGTGTCTTTTTAGTTTTCCCAGCCTCAACACCCTGCTGTAACGTCAATTATATTTATTTGTGGCCCCTTGCTTGTTTCATTTTTTTTTTATTTTTTATTTTTAAAGCCGTTTTCCTTCTTTATTTATTTATCAATTCGCTAAAAACAAAAAATTTCTCTCTATTTATTTTTTAGAGTTAAGTTATTTCCATTACTTTTGACTAAATTTATTAGTCATGCAATGCATGAATTGTTTTAATAACCTCTGTGTGATATAATATATTTTTTTATTTTCTCTTTGCTCTCTGTTTGTCGAAGACCCTCTTCATCTCTTTCTAATGTGTTCAATGACTTTTAATACTTGGTTAGCTGTTGCTAATTGGTTGGAGGTTGCGGTAGTCTTTCCAAATTCTTTAATTTCTTTCTATCTATATCGGACGAATCTTGGTATATTTAAAAAACGCTCTCAGTGTTTTCAAGTGGTTTGGGTGTCTGTAATCTGGTCACTATGACTTCATCGGAATGTTATTATCTTTCAGCAAGGTGTTATGGATTGCAAGGAGTTGTTAGACAGCATAAAACTGCGTTCATAGAAGTGGATTACTAGTTTTGTCCCCGGTTGTTCTTTTAGTTACATTAGTTGGTATTATAACCCGAGTTTGTATATCTCATAATTTTTGCTTTGATTTTGAACTCTATTGTAACGGGTTGGAGTACTCCTTATACTCCTAATAATTTAAATCTTGTTTTCTTATAATAAAAAAATATATAATATTTTTCTCTCATTGTGATAGCTGTGATATAAGTTTGTTATCTAATGAAGTTTTTATTTAATATAATAAGCGTTATTAAAAGTATTAAAGTATTTTTATGTATTTATATTTTAGTTCTCAAACTTTTTTAAAAATAAATAAGTTTTCATTGATATGAATAAAAATAAGATATTTTTCTGAAGCTCCTTATACTTTATTTTTTACAAATTTAAATAAAAACTAAATTGAAATTTTAATCTCAATTTCAATTTTTTATTTTTTATCTTCTAAATTTTAAAATTATCATTTTAAAATTAGAAATTTTTTAAAAAAATCAAATTTTTTATGTTAGAGTGAATTTTTATATCAAATCTAGGATAAAATTATTCTAACGTATGTGCTATTTTCCTTTTCAATTTATTGTTACTTTTTTATTATACTGACAATTGATTTTAAAAAAACAAAATGATCATAACAAATAATAATTACAATTAAAATAGTTAAGACATTTTATATACCAAATTAATTAGAGTTCTGGTGAAAATTGTCAATAGATTCAAGTTTTACCATTGTGTGATTTTAATTTATTGATAATAATATGTTTTTATGAGATTAATTGGTAAATTATTGTAATTATTGTTGTTTTAGATTTTTGAGGATCAAGAGATCCTTGAGAGTTAAGTTGGTCAGGATGATTTCGGTTAGAGTTAAGTTAGTCTAAGGAATGGTATATATGATTTTTTTTAACGATATGCACATCATAAATTCAATTCTTAAAAAAGGTAGAGAGAAATTAGAAGGAGAAATTCTGAAACCGGAGAATAACTACTTCTCTTGATTTCATAGGACCTCAAACCCTTCCCCCCCCCCCCCC